CCCCCCCCCCCCCCCCCAAAAAAAAAAAAAAAATACCCTACATTGATGCTGGTGGTAACTCATCATCACCATACTCTGTCGAATTTGCACCGTACATCCAACTTTCTTTCGAATTTGCACTGGTCCACTCTTTCTCTGGTTATATGGTATATTAAATTAGTAACACATCCTCCACTTCTTCATATGCTAGTGGCGGTGGGGCGGGCCTTCTCTTTCTTTACCTCCTCCTTATACACCTTATCAACAACTATTAGCTTCATCCTCACTCATGCACACAAAAACACAGTTGCCTTTTTTTTCCTGATACACCACAAGATCATAATGCACAAGTTTCAACCCACGAAACAATAGTTCCCGAGACACAAAATGAATCACCCGAACCTACGACCAACCCTAAATAAGAGCCAAATTTTCATGGGAATGGCTAAACTTTACCCAAGTAGAAAAAGATGGTAAAAAAAGGCGCAATGTAACTATTGCAAACAAAATTATGACCATGGAAGTACTTATGATACAAAGGTTCTAGGTAAACCGGTTAATCAAAACATTCAAAAGATCATGGTTTAACTGTTAATCAAGCACAACTTGTAGCTGAATCTAGCACTTTGACCATCTGGAGGGCTAAACCCATATTTGCAAGTATGTTGTAGCTAGATTTATCATTCGGGGGGAATTTGCTTGAAGTTGTGAAAATGATGCTTTGATAGAATTTATTTAGACGCATTTTGTTCCTGATTTCAAAACAATTACTAGAAAAATAGAATCTTGTTTTGCAAATCACTGAAGATCTCTAAAAGCAATGATTACAACTAATGCTAGAAAAGTTTCTTAAATTTCTGATATTTGGCAAGCTTTGACTTTGATTCATTATTTGTGTTACTGCTCATTTTATTGATGAAAACTAGAATTTGCATAAACACAGTATATCTTTTACTAGTTTTGAACAAAAACACACCGCTACTAATATTTCTAATGCTATTTTAGCTGCTTGTCAAAATTATGAAATTGAAAATAAAATATTTTCTATATCTTCTGATAATGCTAGTGAAAATACTGCCGCTATTGAACATTTAATCGAGGTTTTAAATCCAATTTTAGATAGTAAACTTTTTCACGTAAGGTGTGTTTGTCATATAATCAATTGGTGTGCAAGATAGTTTGAAAATATTAGATAAATACATTGGTAAATTACATGGAATAATTATATTTATGAAGTGTAGTTCATCTAGACAAAGAAACTTTAAGAATTTAGCTAAACAATTTGGTTTAACAGAAAGACTTCTTCAACTAGATGTGTCTACATGTTAGAATACTACTTATTACATGATTAAGGACTACATTCCTTATAAAAAAGTAATTCAATATTTTGAAATGCATGAAAAGTGTATTCATATGTATATTACCGAGTATGCGATTTTTTGTGAATTTTTGAAAAATTTTGAGGTTGCAACAAAAGCATTATCTGGAATTTACTATCCTACAATTAATTTAGTTTTTTATCATCTTAATGAAATTTCTAATTTGTTTGCTGCATATAGAGACCATGCTAAGCTTTTCAATGCTATTTCTCAATGGAATTAAAGTTAAAGAAATATTTTGAAGAGATGCCTAGCTTATTTCATCTAGCTGCAATAATGGATCCTAAAGTTACTAACCTAAAGTATTTGATGACCACTTTTTCTAATAATAAGCAATACAGTCATGATGCTGATACAAAACTCTTTGAGATTAACAAAGTGTTAGACAATTTATTCACTATATAGCTCTGAATTATCGCCTCATTTTGTGGATGCTCGGAAAGTACCGCCACCAACTTCTTCAAGCACAGGTGGTGAAACTTTGAGAAGTCGAGTGACTGCAAATAAAATGCAGGATGCGAAATTCATCCAGTGAGAGTGGATTTAATGAACTTACTTTATATTTGAATAGTCATGCAGTTGACGCTGATGACAATGATGATGAACTCTGGGAAAGTTATGATATTCTTTGAGATGGAAAACACAATGAAAGCAATCTCATGTGCTTTCTATCATGGCACGTGATATATTAACGACTCCAACATCTACAGATGCATCTAAGAGTGCTTTTTCTGCATGCGATAGAGTACTTACGGATCATAGGAGGTGATGACACCAGCACATTTGGAGATGGTCATAAGCTTGAAGGAGTGGTTTGACGCAGAAAGACAGAGGCAAGGAAAATCTTTCTTTAAGAAAGAGTTTGAAGAAGATAATGTCGATTAGCGAGGAAGCAAGTTCAACATTTAGACAACACAAAGATGATGAAGACACAAAATTATTGACGATACCTATTCTATCACTATCATTTTTAGAAAATGTTGCAAAATGTTTCAAACTATTTATAATAAAATTTCTTTTTTTGCTCCAATATATTTTGAATGATTATGTGAAGTGAACATGTTATTATTTTATGAAATGAAAATTTTCTTCCATTTATTTCTCTTCATTACTGGTAATTGGTAGACTTATATTCATTATTATAAAATATATAATTATAAACAATAATAAAATAAAATAATATTAATCTGGAGCAAAAATTTTGCAAAGCAAAATAATTGGAAAAACAAAAAAAAAGGTAAATAATGCCTCCAATTCGTTACTCTCGTAACGAGACGAGTCTAACTCGTCTCTTCATGAGATGGGTCATGAATTGGGTCCAGGGCCCAATTCGTGACCAACTTAATAGATTCGTCTCGTACAAAAATTTAGAACGAGATGAATTAGATTTGTCTCATTCTGAATTCGTACAAGACACGAGACGAATCAAATGGATTCGTCCCGTTGGCCATCCCTATCTTAGATGCTTTAATATCAAAATTGTGATTAAAAAAACAGATTGCCTCTCTACAAATCATTAGCACCTGGAATTTAGAAGTGACTTTTAATTGATAGATGTCAGGCTTAATAATCACTTGATACTATATCCAAGAATGTTGCATGAATCTAGTCAGGTAACTACCCATATGGCACAACCGTACTATAGGCCAAAAAATCATGAAAACTACTTGATAGCTCCGTATTCATATACATCACATATCAGAATCGACTACTTTACGGATAACCATGGGCATTGTAACAGACATAACTAATGCACAGCCTAAAACTTTGATATGTCAGATTCAAGATGCACATGAACACAATTCACTAGTTGGGTCCATGAGATTTTGTTAGTTTAGACTGCAACTAGACAACTACTAAATTAACAAATCCTTTGTGGTAGATATCCGTGTTTCTACTCTTAATGTTGTCCATCCTCACAATGTCAGCAACAACCACATTATAAAGAAAAAGGGGAAAATGCAATAATAAACACACAACTATTTACAAATTCATAGAGCATCACTGGTTTCAAACTGCATTCTTCCGCGTAAATACCAAAAACTAGAAAGCCTAAAGAAGGCAGCAAGACTAGAAAGAGAGGGAAATCATACCGAACTTCCTGCATCTCCATTAAAAGCCCCATCTCTCTTTCCCAATTGATCAGCTGTACGTGGTCCCTTACTGTCTCCCTTTATTTTAAAACACAATTACATAATATTTGAGTTAGAAATAGGTAGAATCAAAGCAACTTAACTGCTACACTAATGCATTGACAAAATAATCAGATGATACCTCCATCTAAAACCACCACGAGGCGAAGACGCATCCACCAAAATAAGCCATGGAAAAAGCCATCCAAAAAACATTGTCAATTAACTGACATATTTACAACAATCCAACCATCCAAGAAACTAAAAGACCCTTACCTCTCTATACAGCTGCAAATAAAGCTTCAATGGCTCAATATACTCTTCAAACCCTAGCGTCCCCATCGCCCACAGCAGATCATCTCCATTAATCGTCTTCCTCTTCTCTCTCTGACACTTATCGCTTGCCCTAGCAAAACCTCAACAAATCAAATCAAAACACAAAAGAAAATCAGAAGAACAAAATAACAAGAATCAAGAACTAACTCGCTCGTAATGAAGCTAATGAACTCAGACACGCACTCCTGAACCGATTCCTTCGCCTCCTTCGCGATCTTTCCATTCTCAGGGATCGCCTTCCTCATGATCCGTCCAATGTTAGCGATCGGCAAGAACCGATCCTGCTCCCTCGCTCCGCCGACGCCTCCTCCGCCGGAGTGTCCACTCTCCGGCGTGCTCGGTCCGCCTAGATCCGCCATGAAACCCTAGCCCTAGCTCCATTAGGGAAAGTAAGGGTTAGGGTTTTGGGAAAAAGTTCCCAATTCGAGAATAAAAGCTCTTACCTTTCGAAGATTAAAAATGGGGGAAGAGAAGAGAGGAGATTAATTATTTTTTCTTCGTCGATCTGCGCCGTTGATTTTGGTCTTTGCTCATCAGCGGAAGGCGGAGGTCTGTGCCACTGTTGGTTTCTTTATATAGGCCAACGCTGGCCGTGTGATTTCTTGGGATATGATTTATTATTATTATATACTTTTTATTGTAGCCCAAAAGATCATGCGAATTGTTTGATTTTATCCACAGACTAGTTTAATGGTTAATTTGGATTAAGATAAGTTATCATGGAGCATTAATCTATGAGCTTAGATCTAAGTTTTGGAAGATCTTTTCCTCATGATGACTCATGAATCCAGTTATTTTACTAATGCATGAATGAAAATGGTAACTTATTATTAAGAGCGACTAAAAAATATTATAAGTCTCCCTTAACTACAACTCCATCCCTATGCTTTCACTTTCCATAGTTGCTCAAACTTTGCCTTTTAAATTGCTTGTGGAGAACTAGCTTAGTTCTTGAATCATTTCAAGAAAAAAAAAGTTTAGTTGTGGACTTTATTTATCTTTAAATTGCTTTTGGTAAGAACTAGTTTAATAGCCCAAAAATTAACAAAATCAATTTAAACCATTAATGACCTATGTTTTGTCAACCAACAAAACGCTCTAAAATGAAACACATTTAAATCTGACCCGGTTTTAAAGAGTTGTCAAACATACTCGTCCATTATTCATTTGTTGTCCAGTTTTTTTTATAACTATTCAGGATAGTAAATTAAGTATTTAATTATATTGTGTTGATAAAATTATATTAAATAGACATTATATAATGACACATAAACTATTTTTCAGTTGTGTTATGGGGTGTTCCCTGTTCCCCACAAATATGCTATCCCGAGAGCAGGTTCGGTCGAGTCGACTTCATTCTAAGACGACTCGAAAGGCGGACTCAGTCGAACCTCTTCATAACAAAAGATTATTGCTTAGCAATTAGCCGACACTCCTCCCAAGGGCCGCAGAACATTTCTTCTCAGCATTATTTAACCTTTTATGATCATCATTATGTCTCCGTCCTCAGCCATCTGGAACCTTGTCGGCTGAGGGTTCCCTGCGATACTGAAGTGACTTCTCGCCGCTCATCGACAAGACTTGGCGGATGCGGGTTCCCCATATCGCTGAAGTGACCTTCCATCACTCGCAAATCGACACGTATAGAGCAAAGGGTGACTCAGCCTTCAGCTCACCCCTTACTACCATCCTAGACCGCACACTCACGAAGTGTCTATTCTTCCCTTGGCATCCTCTATAAATACAGACGCTATTCATCCTGAAAAGAGGTTCGGTCTCTCCATCACTCCTGAACCTAAAAAAAATTCTCTAGTTACATATTAGGTTGGATTCTCCTTACTACTTAAAAAACTACACCTTTTATTTTGGGGAGGATACTGTTCTTCCTTCACCCCACCCAAGTTCGATAGCTGACTTGACCGTCGGAGGTACCACGGGGGAAACAAGCCACGTACTCCCACCATTCTTGTATGTGCAGGTGGTCCGTCCGCCCCGAGCTCTAAGAACCAGGCATAAAGTCGAAGAAGGAAAGCGGCCCCCTCTCGACGATTCAACATCTCGACGATCCAGTAACTCGACAACCTCCATCGACTGTTTGTTCACGAGCATCAACGGTTTGGCGCCCACCGTGGGGCTACTTTCCTCTTTTTGAGAAAAAATGATAGGTTCTGAGCGAGGAGTGGACCAATCTCCTCCAAAGCTGGCTCCTAATTGGGAAGGTCCCTACACAGTTATGGAGGAGCTCAGAGCCAGCACCTACCAGTTGAAAGCTCCAGATGGCCGAATCCTCAGTCACACATGGAACATTGAACACCTACGACGGTATTTCCTTTAAGATTTCAGTTTAATCTCTTGAATGATGAAAATTCCCTATGAAGAATGCATGCCTTAGATAATTGATAATATATCTGATGAAACGGCTTTAGCCAAACTTTTGTGTCACCATAATAACTGGAAAATGGAAGACCTAGTCAGCTAGGCACACGACTCCTCAGTCGGTAAAAAGACCTTGGTACCACCTCAGGGTAAAACCAAGACACAACCCTTTGGCTGACTCACACAGTCGCCTCTCGGCCCTAGGGGAAAATGGAAGACCTAGTCAGCTAGGCACTCGACTTCTCAGTCGATGAAAAGTCCTTGGTACTTCTTCAGGGTAAGACCAAGGCACAACCCTTTGGCCGACTCACACAGTCGCCTCTCGGCCCTAGGGGAAAATGGAAGACCTAGTCAGCTAGGCACCCGACTCCTCAGTCGATGAAAAGTCCTTGGTACCTCCTCAGGGTAAAACCACGACACAACCCTCTGACCGACTCCCACAGTCGCCGCTCGGCCTTAGGGGAAAGGTAAGGCCTAGTCGACTCTTTCGAGCCTGGGCACTCAACTTCAAGGTCAATTCCTGTATCACCTTTCAATCGAGTAGGAACAAGAAAAATTCAAGAGTTTAAAACTGTAATGACCGTAAAATTTTAATATTAGTTAAAATAAATTTTTGGTATTTTAAAATATTTAATTATGATTTTTAAAAGAGTATTTGTATTTTTCTTGATTTTCTAGAATTTTCTATGATTTAAAGTCTAAGTTTTATATTTATTTAAATGGTTTTAATATTTATAAATTAATTTAGTGCAATGAAAATTTCTGGAATTTATCTATTGTGTTACTGATACTATTACGTATTATTTTAAATAATACGCCGTATTATTATTATTATTACGTATTAATTCTTACATTATATTGAATTATTAATTACGTATTATTTGTGTAAATTATTGTATTATTACATATTAGCTGTCGTATTAGCATAACTGGTACGTTTTATCGTGTAGATAATTGTCACATAATTATTTGATTTTAAATATAAGTAAATATATTTTTATTATTAATTATTTCTGTTTAATTGTACAATACGGGTATATTTTCGACAGTTTCATATCAATTGTTGTATTAGCTCAAAATGTACGTTTTTATTTGTAGATAATTATTATATAATTAGTTTAATTTTTAAGTACCCAAAATTATTTATTTTAATTATTTTCGTTTAAATACCTGAACCCTTTTGAAAATAACCCTAGCTTTTATTTCCCGCGTTGAACCCCCATCAGCTACCCAACAACCCCGTTCTCTCCCTCCTCTTCTTTTCAAAAAAAACGGCTCCACGCGAATCATCCCTCCATATTTTAATTTATTTTTTAAATTTTTTATTATTATTTTTCCCTATTTAAACCAACCCAGCCCCCTCTCTCTCTCGTACTCTCTCTTTCTCTCTCTTCCTTTCTCTCTCTCTCTTGCTGTCGAGCTTGAGCTCGAGCTCCATCGCCGACCGCC